TCTTTGTGTGTGATATTCTACCTCGAATCCCAGGTGTGTTTTATTTAAAAAATTTGTTATGCCGTAAATAATTTATTTGTTGCCGGGTTGGTATGATCAATGCATGTTTGTGGAATTTGTGTAACCTTCGATGTGAGCTGGATTCGGACGGTTGTCCTCGTCGATGTGAGTTGTGTGTCTTTCGACGGTGCCTTGTGAGGCAATCTCCCTAAGTCCTGATATGGCCGTACCCTTGTGGGGTACGTAAGACCCTATGTAAGACTATGCCGTTGAGAGTTGTATGTCCTTCGGTATGCACTCCCATTGTTGAGAGCTGTATGTCCTTCAATGGCTAATGATAGATGTGCACATGAATGAGATTATTGGTGTATTGATTGGAGAGGAGACATGTTGAATTGATTAATAATCATGTTGTGACCATACCCTTTGTTATGTTATGTTGTTATTTACTGCATAGTGGTGAGCACTATGATTTTTCTTTGTGCTCATCCTCACCTGCTCTTCATGGATGCAGATTATTATGTGCGGGCACGATGGAGGGATACGAGTGGTGGTCGGTCATTGATGACCAATTTATTTCTTAATATTGCTTCAGCTTATTAACGGAATATTGTTATTATTATTTTTTTTATTATTATTATTGAGTACTGGATTATGGATTGGAATTATTGAAGTATTGAGGATTGAATTATTGATTGATGATTGATGATTGAGGTTTGAGTTGTTATTGAATATTGATGTATGCTGTTGAAAATGAGTAACGCCACAAGTGATTTTGAAAATAAATTTTGAAAATTTATTACTGATTTTTTACAATAAAAGTGGGGTGTTACAGTTTGGTATCAGATATGCGTTTATCAGACTGGTAAACGTGAAATATGTGAATTCTGGGAAATATTTGTATTATGTGATGTGATAATGACCACTCGCTCGCTTTCGTCGTGCCACGCCACCTCAGGTATGAATACATGAGTAATATTGAATTGCTTATGTGAAATACTATGATATTATGAGATGTAAATTAGGGCTTAGGAATTTATCCTCCTGATTTTTAAACATTCTTGAATTCTAGGCGATTGGCGAACTTAGTTGTATTAGCTTGAACTCTAGTGGTATAGAGTTAAGTTCTTTCTTTAGAAGTTATTGGTTGAGAATTTCGATATAATGGTTGAATCTATCCCCGTTTTAATTCGTTCGTTCTTTTCATTGGTTGGATTTGAAAATCCATTGGTCGGGTATATATTGGTTCATATACTCGTTCTATGTGCTGGTTGTTTTCTTGAGTTCGTCGTGGGTATCCGAGAGCAGCTTGAACCGATGGAGGCAGTGAATCGTGGATTCGTGGAGGCGAAGCAGTCCTGTTTTCTTTCTTGAATTTTTGTCTTCTTGTAGACTTTTGCAAACCTTGACATATTCCCTTTTTGTATGGCAAGCAATTTTCTATTGTACTTTGAGGCTTCTATATGTTATTCAATTTTCATGTTTTGAGAACGTCGCATTCAATTTTGTAGGGCAAGCAAACTGGTGCTATTATAGGTAAAATCGGTGTTTTTATGTGTCTATTACAAAGGGTACTAAAGACCCAATATCAGGTACTACAACAGTATAAAATTGGTACCATCTTACTCTATGTTTGGTACTACTTTTTGTAAATGTTGACCAAAATTGGTACCATCTTACTCTATGTTTGGTACTACTTTTTGTAAAATCGTGATTTCTAATCCTTCATGTCTACCATGACACGTGAATCGTTCACGCGTGATTTGGATAGAAAAATAGTGGAAGTCAAAATATATAGGTAGAAATTGGAGTAGTCATGTATGATGATACTATTAGATGAAGTGTGTCATTCAATGAAATGAAGTGTATTAGCAGTGTACTCTCATTAGTGTGTCGAGTTCATGACCATTTTATGATTAAACTTAATCAAAAACATTTTAAATCTAATATAAACTAATGTGAGAGTCATAATGGGTCATATAAACATCATTTGAGACCAAAATTTGGTGTTTTTTTATGTTTGTCGGAGTTGGTACTAAAAACTTGATATCTGGTACTAAAACACCAAAAGCTAGTTCTATCTAACTCTAGGGAAGGTACAAATTTTTGCAAATGTTGACCAAAATTGAAGTAATCCCTTTTCGTTGACCAAAAGTAGGTACTAACTGATTAAAAATAGGTACTACGCAAAAGAAGAAGCGGTACTATTTTTGTCAAAACTGGTATTGTTTTAGTAATCATGATTTCTTTAATCTTCTATGTCTACCATCCCACGTGGATCGTTCATACCTGATTTGGTTGAGAAAATAGTGGAAGTTCAAACATATATGTAGAATTTGGAATAGTCATGTATGATGATTCTATAAGATGAAGTGTGTCATTCAATATAATGAAGTGCATTAGTAGTGTTTTCTCATTAGTATGTCGAATTCATGACTATTTTACGATTAAACTCAATTTAAAACATTTTAAATCTCATACAAACTAATGTGAGAGTGATTATTAGTCATAAAAACATCATTTGTGACTGAAATTTGGTGTTTTTTTATGTTCGTCGGAGTTGGTACTAAAGACCCGATATCTGGTACTAAAACACCGAAAACTGGTACTATCTTACTTTAGGTTTGGTACCAATTATTGCAAACGTTGACCACAATTGAATAATCTATTTTTGTTGACCAAAAGTTGGTACTAATTGATCAAAAACATGTACCACATAGAAGAATATGTGGTTTCTCTAATCCTTCATGTCTACCATGACACGGATCATTCACATGTGATTTGGATGAATAATAGTAGAAATTAAAACATATAGGTAGAATTTGGAGTAGTCACGTATGATGATTCTATGAGATGAAGTGTGTAATTCAATGAAATGAAGTGTATCAGTAGTGTTTTCTCATTAGTCTGTCGAGTTCATAACCATTTTGCGAATAAAATCAATTAAAAACATTTTAAATCTCATCTAACTAATGTGAGAGTGATTATGGGTCATATAAACATCATTTGAAAACGAAATTCGGTGTTTTTATGTGTTCATTACAAGTGGTACTAAAGACCCAATGTCAGGTACCACAACAATATAAAACTGGTACTATCTTACTCTATGTCTGGTACTACTTTTTGTAAATGTTGACCAAAATTAAAATAATCAATTTTCGTTAACAAAATTAGGTATTAATCGATCAAAAATGGGTATCACGTAGAAAAAGTTGTGGTACTATTTTGGCTAAACCAGGTACTATTTTAAGAATCGTGATTCTTTAATCCTTCATGTCTACCATGACAAGTGGATCGTTCACGCGTGATTTGGAAGAAAAAATAATGGAAGTTAAAACATATCAGTAGAATTTGGAGTAGTCATGTATGATGATCCTATAAGATGAAGTGTGTCGTTCAATAAAATGAAGTGTATTAGTTGTGTTTTCTCATTAGTGTGTCGAGTTCATGATCATTTTACGATTAAACTCAATTAAAAACATTTTAAATCTCATAAAAACTAATGTGAGAGTGATTATGGGTCATATAAACACCATTTGAGATAGAAATTCAGTATTTTATGTGTTCATTACAAGTGGTACTAAAACACCATAATTGTGGTACTATCTTACTCTAGGTCTGTACTAATTTTGAAAATGTTGACAAAAATTGACATAATTTTTTTTTTCTACAAAGTAGGTACTAATTATCAATAACTGGTATTGCATAGACGAAGAACTAGTATCATTTGTGGTAAAATTAGCACTATTTTACAAAATTCAGTTTTTATTTTTATGTTCGTCAGAATTGGTACTGGAGACCCGATATGTAGTCCTAGAACACTATAATATCGATACTATCTTACTCTAGCTCTGGTGCTAATTTTGAAAATGTTGACCAAAATTGAAGTAAACCATTTTTTGTTTTTTCTACTAAGTAGGTTCTGATTGATCAATAACTGGTACTGCATAAAAGAAGAAGTGGTATTATTTGTGGTAAAACTTGTATTATTTTATAAATTATGTTTTTTATGTTCGTCGGAATTAGTACTATCAATTAATTATATTTATATTCAAGTAGTTACTAGTATTAATACTCATGTACAACATGAGAGTTGAGTTAATGAATATGTGTAAAGTTATTTATATGTAATACCAAACCTAACTACAGAGCAAAAATAATATAAAAACAACATCACAAAACATAGATTTTCGCAATGTCAGCATCCGAAGCGTGAGAATCTGCCACCTAGACTCAACACGTTTTGAATTAATATATAGGGAGGGATATGATATACGTTATAAAAATTAATATAATATAATACATGTAAGTCGCACAAGTAACAAGTGTCATTCTAAAATATGTTAGTCCCTGCTCGTTCACTGCTCAGGTAAGCAAAAATGCTTCCGGCACAAACGAACACTTTTTGGATGAAAGAAGAAGATTGTGAACAACTCAATGTATTGAGTATTAAGTTTTTCTGTGTGTTTACAAAACAAAAACTGCATCCCTATTTATAAGAACTAAAAACAACTATCCTAGTGACTTTCCTAGAAATTACTTAAGTTGAAAAGTCATGAAAAAACAGCCTAAAATGGCTGCCATAAAAGTGCTTTGCAGCTGCAAGGAAATTGCACTGTAAATTGAAGGAAACAACAAGGAAACAACATATTATATTTCTTATAAAATATATAATAATATGTATTTTTTGTAAAAAAGTAAATAAAAATTAAAATAATTTTTTATCATTAATTTTAAAAATTTAAGTATAATTTTTTAACACACACTCGGTTTGGAGCATGGTAGGTTCAATTCATAATTGGTGAAGCGTGTCGTAAACCAGAGTATCTAAAGTAAACACATATACCTTCATAAACCATAAACAATATGCAACTTATCATAACAAGTTGTGCTGCAACTGAATTACCAGCTTTTTAAATATTCACTGTGGTTTTATGGGGTACAATCCTATAAAATTAGATGTCCAACTAACAAGACAACAGCGCATGCTCACATTTATGTTAGTAGACTTTGACAGTCTCATCTGCTCCAAGCTCCTTAGCAATGGACAGACGTTGATCATCGACATCCACAATCACTATCCTCGGTGACCCAAAAGCCCGAGCCGCAAGCATCGTCACAAGCCCAATGGGCCCGGCTCCCATCACCAGCATATTTGTCTCTGGGCCCACCTTCGCACGACGGCACGCGTGAACTCCAACACTCAATGGCTCGCACATTGCCCCTTCCTCCAAACTCACGTTTTCGGGCAATTTGAAACATAAGTCTGCAGGATGCACAATCTATATATCATGGAAGAAGGATAAAAAAACAGAGAAAGAAGAAAAAAAAAAAAAAAAGATGGTTAGTATTGATGATGCTGGATTTAGATTTCACAAGATTGTCTAAACCATCTCTAACCAAGGTTCACACCAAACTACTAAAAGTTCAATAAACTTAGCCAGACAATAAAAATGACGACAATTAAAGAACAATAGTCAAGTTTAGGTCTTGGTAGCTAGACCTGATTTGCTAGGGTGCCATGAACAGGAGGGGTAGAAAAAAACTTCATAACAGGGCACAAATTGTGTCAGTCTTCCTTGCAAAGATTACACCTCCAACAGCTTATTCCGGGCTCAATGGCCACACGGACTCCGGGCGAAAGGTGCTTCACCTCAGACCCAACTTCCTCAATAATGTCAGCGCACTCGTGCCCAATTACCATTGGTTCCTCCACCACAAAATTCGTTAATTTCATCTCCTGAGATACAAGAAACATTGTGTTATCATGAAGTGCCACAATTTGGCTAAATACAAAACAAGAAAAAGTGGTAAAAAGATAGTATATCTTTCAATGGTTTCAATTCGTCATCATCTATAACAGAAAAACTATATTGGTCTTCAACAAAACGAAACATACAAACTTACAATCAAATTCGAAATAAGAAAGAGCCGATGCCTTCAAATTCATAAATCCTAACCCACCCAAAATCCAATAAAAAGAGCAAAATTATAGAATCACACTTGCAAAATTAATATATATAAAAAAAAAAAGAAAACGAAAACTTGCCTGGCTAAACTTGAGCGGATGCTGCTCGCCGGCTATCTGAAGATTTCCGCAGACTAAAACAAGCATTCAACTTCGTCAGCAAGACCAGACAGGACGGGCCGGGCCCAATTCGTGATAGAGGCCTCGGTCGGAGTCCATGTCCCGGTCCATCCCGGTCCATGAACCTACCCTCCGTCGCCGCCCTCCTTCACCACCTCATCCCCGCCGCCCAGTCCCTCGCCCACCCCCCGATCTCTAACTATCACGTCGACGTCGTCGGCTTCGGTTCAGACGGTTGCGTTTTCCTCGGCGTCAAGCTTGAGTTCCCCGGCCACTCCACCACTCCGTCCACACCGAGCAGTTTCCTTCGGCCCAAATTCCGAATTCAAACCCCTACCCAAATTCCTGCCCAATCCCTTCGGCCCTCACAATCTGCTCGATCGTGGTACCCTGCTTCTACTCGAGCAGCACGACCATGGCCTGGATCTATTACCTCAAGTTTGAGTTGGGATTGATTTTGAGGATTTGGGGGTTTTGGGAGTCTGCGGTTCTTTTCTTATTTTTTCTTTTATTCTGAGTTTTTAGGAAAAAAAAAAAAATTAGGGACTGACAAGAAAATTGATCAAGGCATTGGAGATTTATCTTGAATTTACCTTTTAATAAAATTGCTGGTTAATCATCCGCCAAGTAATTTCCTCTTTAATAAAATGTAGTTTATGCCAGAGATGTGCAAGATAAAGCCATCAGGACCCAAAAAGAAGCCGGCTGTGTGCTAATTTGTGCATCCAACTTAAATATTACTACAAATGAGAGAAATGCTCATCTACCCACGGTGGACACATGTTAATATGCCCACCGCGTAGGTGACATACACTCATTGATGATGTTAATATGTTTAAAAAAATACATCACCAATGAGTGCATGCCACCTACGCAGTGGGCATATTAACATGTGCCCACCGTAGGTACGGGAGCATTTCTGCTACAAATGAACCCCAGCATACCTTCTATGCTGCAAATATGTACTTCCCCTCAATATCTTTCACAAATTGCACCATCTATAGCACGCATTTGTTAGAAAAACAAAAAAAACGAAAAAAATGATCTTTGAAATGGATGTTCATGTGTCGTAATTACCCAACAAATAAATAAACAAATAAAATCCAGAACCTCAATCCAATCTCCCACAAATATTTTTGCATTCACCAAAAGTACAAGCAGGAACTGACTCGCAAAATCAAGCAACTTTCATTAAACAATTAGCACCAGCCATACACAATAAGCAAGTTCCACCAACAAATCCACAGATACATGTCCGCAATTTTCAAACCCATAAAACTTACATGTACCACCGAGTTGCTCAAAAGAAAAGAAATGAAAAACGGCTACTTCATAACTAGAAATCAGTATTTGGTAGAACATTTTTTCACCTCACTGGCTGGACCCAACGATAACAACCGCATTATCATCCCCTTGTGACGTGTCATTGGCAAGAGACTTCTTTACCAAAGGCTTGGGGATGTCCAGGTCATCCTGAATGCATCGTTGCTGGGGATGGGACAGGAGCACACAAATGTGGCGAAAGAGGGCACGGGTCAACCCTTGACCGTTCTCGAATATGTAACCCTCGTACTCGCTGACCTGTTCAAGGGCCTCAATCAGGGAGTCATAAACCATTTGTGGGCAGTTTTCAGGCCCCGGCTTGTCGTGGAGGTACATCACATCCAAAGTGAAGAGTTTTAGAGTTGGAGGCAGTTGATACTGTGGGGGCATCGATGATCTACAGTAAAGCAAGATCTGGATCAAAAGATCCAATTTTTAGAATTTTTAAAACAGGCAACAAAGATTTTTTTATTACAATAATTGGATGGAGAAATGAAAGAGTCCATGAGCTCTACTTGAGCATTAAAGTATAAGTTTAGGTTAAAGCTGCAATGGGAAATAAAAGATGAAAACAAAAAAAGAATCACAGGAATGGTACCATTTTCCCTACAAATTGTTGAGCACAAAATACGGCATAAAACATGTGAGGATAATTCATTAAGGTGGACTGGCAAGAGGACATTCCAAATGTAACAACAAAAACAACAGAGGTGCATCAATAGGGGTGCAGCAAAACAATGTCACATGCAGGAAAAAATAAAGCAGCTCTGGAACTGGTGAATTGTCCAGAAAATTGATTTAGAAAATTAATATACGTTGCTCCACTGTAACTTCTGAATGCACAGGGCAAGTGAGTTGCATAATGATAATTTATAAACAAGTTGTATCCCATTATATCTTTCGCTATAACTTCCACGTAATGATTTTTATGTAAGAACCAGAACTCATGAAAATGAATCCATAAATATATCATGACCTAAAATGCTGCACAAGGAACCAAATAATTACTTCACTTACCCTGAAACCAAATGAAGATCAGTAACTATTAACTTGCTCAAGGTTATATGGGTTGTGAGATCTAAACGAGTTCACTTACCACTCGGAATATCCGATTCTGGGCACGAGATTTCTTTGCTTCGTGATTTGCTACTTTAAAAAGCTGACTGAGATTTGCGGGACTCAAAGATGAATCCACTGAGATACCTCGTAAAGCAGCAATTGCTGAGTCAACCTCGCTGCTGAACTCTTTCCTTAGCTTCACAATGACACAAAAAAGGGAGAAAGGAACTCAGACAACAAGGCAAATAATTAGCAATCGATTTGACACGGTAATAATTCACTGTACTAAGGTATTATTAGTAATAGCATCAAGTTGTTGTAAGTGAACTTGAGCGAGAATATTCAACACTGCGGCAATTATAAGTATCATAACGGAAATGGCTTTCCCATTATCAACATGTTTGTTTGCAGCAATTGTGACCTCATTGTCACATCAATGTTGGCATTACCATATAGGAAAGCTTCTATGAAACCTTGACATCAATTTTGAAAACTTCGTCACATTCGCTGACACCAGGAAAAGAGAGGGAGATGGGTTAAGTAAGGTGCAATAACCAAACACACCACGTATTGGCTGAAAGCTCATAGCAATAATACAATGGCGTATTAAGTCGTGCCATTTCATCAATTTATGGTAAAACCCACTTAGCCATGCCAAGGGGTCGATGCATTGATATTTGTTCATAAAGATCATAATATAACTTTCAATGTGCACACAAGTCGCAACATTCATAAGATAATCACAAACATTTGTTGTGGCCAGCGCTAATCTAATTCATAACATTTACTACTAAAAAGCAACTTTGATTTACTACTAAAAGCAACTTTGACAAATTTCAACAGAATTTGAAGGTACATCCCATATGTCTTCTATTAGCAACTGAGTAAGCATAATATATGAGTTATTCAGATAAGTAAATTAACTCATATATCTTCGGTCACACATTCAATCACATATCAAACCCTAAAAACACATCAATACCAGTGGAAAGAGGAAATGAAGTACTGGCGCTAAGAGCTAAAAAGAAACCCTAGCCAACAAGATCAATTAAAAAGAACCTTCTAAGCAGTTTATGGCAATAATATTTCAGATACAAGTGGAAACGAAAAAAAAAAAGGACAAAGAACACAAAAACATATGACAAGAAAAAAAAAGAGCGATAAGTTGATACCCAATAAGTTGTTTTAGAGAGAGCGGCAAAAGCAAATCGGTGATCGGGGTTGATGCTGAGCTTAGCGTGAACGAAAAGCAATATAGCCTGCTTTATAGAGTCCAATCTGGTGTAGGGCCTACCGTTAGGCCCGTTTACCTTCATCTCCGCCATCGTCTCCGGCCCGACATCGACGCAGAAGAGTATGTCCTCGCTCGAGAATCGGCCGGCCGGAAGTGTGTATCCTCCGCCGCCTCTGCCGTGGCCTGGCGGTGGGTTTAAGCTACGGACTTCTGATACTTCCATCTCTAACTGGGCTCTCGTGGGGTTCTTCTATGTGGCCGTGGCGATGTAGTTTGATTTCTGTTGCAGTAGATGGATAATGGAACGCAAATAAAAATAGATCTGAAAATCTGAATAGATTAAAGTAAATAATTAAAGTGAATATTATTAAAAAAATTATATTCATTGAGATTGAGTATAAAGTATGAAAGTGACTCGTACAATAATATATTTGGTCAAAATGAGTTTTTTTGGTTTACTATAATTAATTTTGAAAAAGTTAACGCAGCTGTTAACAGAATTTTAAGGTTATATAAAAGTAGGATTTAAAATAAAATAATTAAAGTTGAATTGATGTAAAAATATGAAAATATGATATGAAGTGATTGTTAGTTGGAATTATGTAAATAGATGAACAGTGAATTAAAATTGATGTAATGTATAAAAATGATTGTTTTGTACTATTTTATACAAATAATATTGAATGAATATAGTAGAGTTGAGTTAGATTTTGAGTATGAATTGGATAAATTTATAAACAAACACACCTTGAACATTGTCTCTGGTTGAAAATATATAATGATAGTCATTGCGAAACGACCAATTGGAAATTTTTTCACCAGCCGAAAAATTCTTGGTGTGCCCTTTATTTTCTCGATTTGGGGCTCGGTTTCTTATTTGGGACTTTAATTCCTCCGTCCTGAAGGTGTTATCTTCTTCATTAATAGGGACATGGTTCCTCCGTTTCTAGCAGGTTAGTTCTCACGCCTTATCTATTCACTCTTGTTAGTTTGGTTAGCCCTTCCTGATCTAGGTTGCCTTCCTTGTTCTTGCTTCATTTTCCGTTTGTTGTTTGTTCTTTGTTCTTTTTTTTTTTTTGTCCCATTGTAGGTGCTCTAAGATCATTCATTCCCTCTAGTGTTATTTTCTTGGTTCGTGGAAGAAGAACTTCGCTTCGCCACAAATTGGAGTCCTTCCAACTCTATAAACAAGTATATATCAGTGGTTACCTACCTCTCTTGATTTTGGGGACATCTAGCATAGCTCTGATGAATGTAGTCGTAGTAATCGGTCAGAAACGGGTGCACCTCATTAAGTTTGAATTTTTTTCGAATTCATTTTCTCAGACTCAACAGATAAATCCAAGGTTAGCAAAGGACACAAGTGAAAATCAATTTTTAATTCTAAAAGAATGGACAAAAGAAATATTTGCATATCATCTAGATTTTTAGGAAAATGAGATTTTGGTCCAAGCTTGTAATATCCCTCTTAACTTGATTTCAGCAGCTGAGGTGGGTCTAAAAATGTGGAGCTTTCAAACAAATTAAGGATGTTTAAGTGCCGCAAGGTGGGAACTTAGCTGGAAAATACATCAAGATTCTGGTGGTAGTCGATCTTCATCAACCACTTTCCAGATGAACCAATATAAGGCTTGGAGGTAAAATAAATAAGTAAATAAATCATAATGCATTTCATGTGTGAAAGGTAGTGTTAAACCGCTGAGCACCAAAACCGGGTAGAAACGGTTCAAACCGTTATAAAACCACAGAAACCGGAAACCAGAAGCGGTTCCAGCGGCCCATTGGTTTCTGCTCAAACGGCTTGAATTAACTTCTTCATTATAAGAATCACACTTTCTTGTTGTTTTTGCGATGTAGGACTTGGTTTATTCTCTTTTCCTATATATCCTTCTTCTTTTGCTTTTTGCTTGTAGTGTGGGCCAATTCGAAAGCCCACTGAATTTTCAACGTTTGGACTTTTTTTTTTTAGTTCACACGTAAGCAAATGGAATTTACAAATTTTGGGCCACTTTTTTCTTAATGTCCGTATGTCATACAGTTTTCAAATGCAAACTTTTCAAAATTCAAAACTAAAGCTCAACTTAAGAAAAAAACAAATAAAAATCATATATATATAATATTATTATTACATATTTACAATTTACAAAATAAATAAAAACCTTACATAATAGTGTTCACACTTTAACAATTAATTTGATAATAATAAAAATATATGCAATTATATATTATACATATAAAACCAATAATAAAAAATAGATACAATTATTTTCTATATATATATATAAATGTCATTATAACTATAAAATTAATGATAAAAATATATGAAATTGTTTATTATTCAAATAAAATAAATAAAAATTATATATTAAATAAACAGGTTCGATCGGTTCAACCACTGGTCCAACCAGTGACCATTGAACCGATAGCTTTAACGGTTCGATGACCGGTTCAGTTTTTAAAACATTTATTTTTGGGGGCATATGGATAAGAATTGTAATAAGAGAGTGACAGACATCTCGAGCGGTGATTGTATGAAAGCCTCATGATCTTTTTTTCCCTCAACCACATCCTCAAATACCCCTAGTGCCCATAATGAAAGTCATAAGCTCTCAACAAGAAATCTAAAATCCCCAGTGCTAAACGCGCACCCACAAGATACTCCTCTTCTTTCTCAAATTTCTTGTTCAACTATCCACTACACCCCACCTCTCAACCACCCCCCCCCCCCCCCTCCCCCACACAAACACAACACGTTTAGCCCCAAATCAATACTTCCAATCTTTAGACCCTTAATAAGAAACTTTCTGACCCTCCACTGTCACACGTGGATTTAGACCAAACAAATCAACTCCAGTTGTCTTTCGAACGTTAACCTGTGAGCACACAAATACCATTTAAATCACACAGATAAGATACTTCACTACTCATATGCCTCGAAGACCCTCTATCAAAGTATCATTTACCTTCAAGTGATGTTTCCAAATATTAAACTCATGCAGAACAACTAAGAGGTTTTTCACCACCCAAGTTTTTTGTTCCCCACACTTTAGGTTTTGAAACCTTCTTGAATACTCTAAGATGATTCCTGTTTCTTACATTAACTATAAACAAATCATGTTGCATTCTATAGCACTTAAGTTTAATGTGACCTGAAATACTACAATAATGACATATAAGAACGAAATTTTTTGCCTGGACCTCTTTAACCTTTTTTTTACAAGGGAGAGCACTTTTACTTACATTGATGGGAACAAACTTGTATACAAGTCGCGTGTGAGTTTACATAGAGAGTTTGTACTTTCATTACCTATCTTCTTGTTGAAGTCGAGTCCAAAAAGTTCAAGATGAGACACATTACCTGAGGTGTTGGAACCTTCATCATTGGATCCAGTGGATTCCAGTCCGTGATTATCACCATGAGATTTTACAATATCCAACAATTTATCCAAATCAGCTTCTTTATCCAATTTGCCCAAAATTTGTGACGTGCGTTCTAACTCAGAATATTCATATTTCATGTTTACTCATATCGAGAGACTCGTCTTTTAGTTCACATGTTCCCTCATTACCCGAGATAGTTCTCTTTTTAGATCAACAACTCTCTTGTCCCCACTTGCCAATTTTTTGCAAGGCAAAAAGCTCAGTCTTCAAGGATTCAACAACTTCATTTTTCTTAGCATTTGTCTTTTTTTGACACTTTCAACCCATTCTCGAGAATGGTAGTTCTAGCACGGACAACATCCAGTTCAACTTTATTTTCATGAGTAAATGAGGAAGTCAGTTAATCATTGAGCGACCCATTGATCTATCTCGTGGTTTGGACTTCTTTCTTCAGATACTCCAATTCTTCATTGCATCTACCTTGCTGAACTTGCATTTTGAGAGATTTGATTTGAGCACATAAGCTTTTCATTATAGTTCCAGCTTGGATCGACGAATGTGTTCACATCCACATCATCACGTGACTCAAAAACCAAGACAACTCACTAGCAAAATTGTAATTGTATATAATATCATGTCAAGATATACAATTAACTGCTATATATTAGGTCATCTCCAACCGAAAAACTCATTCTCAAACTCATTTTACAGTAACTGTCACATTTTGCAGTAATTCATCTCCAACCGAAAAACCTATTCTCAAACCCAAAAGAATATTCTTGGAATATTCTCTTTTACATCAACTTTTATAACTTTTCAATACTACCCACATATTTTATAACTTTATAAATTAAACCACACTATTATTATAAATTCAATTTGGAATTTATGTAATAAAATTAATTATAAAGTTAATCATATCATATACATAATAAAATTGAAAAATTTTGTACTATAAATTAAAATTTAAAAATTACAAACAAGATAAAATTAAAAATTACAATGCACAAAATGAGAAATTTAAAATTACAACATACAAAATAAAATGGAAAATTACAATGCACAAGATGAAGAATTAAAAATTACAATATTTTATAATGTAATTTTATTTTTCGTAGTTTTATGCTATATTTTCAATTTTATGACTAATTTGATAATATTAATTTTGTTATGTGTAAAACTAGGTTATGATGTATTTAATTAAAAAAGTTATATTTTTAAAATAGTTTGATGGTTTATGTAATTTTTATGTTAATATTTAATAAGTCTAAAATGCCATTATACAAAGCAAAGGGTAAGAAATAAAATTTTAATAAATTTTTGCGTCCAAGCACAGTGAAAATGCATATTTGCGTTTTATGTGGAGAGAGAAACATCAAAAACCCATTTTGGGATCGGGAATGGGATTCGGTTGGAGTAAAATCCCCTCAATTTTTGCGTTTTGATGTACGGTTGGAGACGGTCTTAAGACATAGGACTCAAAAAGTTATATACTTAATGTTATGTATTTTATAATTAATCTAAAAGTTATATATATACATAAATTATATATAAATATATTAAAAATTATGAAAAAAAAAATTAAAGTAAAAAAATATTAAATTTGATAAATATTATTAAAAATATAATTAAGTTGTAACACAATAATACATATGAAAAAAGTAATAAATAAAAATAGTATAATTAGTATATATATATATATATATATTTATATATAAAACTTTTAAAACTTGTACTATATGGACGTATGTCTTCTAGACTAATTTCACTTATGTTCTAGCACAATACAACAATAAGAGTGTAATTATTAGTATTCTTAAAAGGTGACAGTTTTATTTAAAC